GGCCACCGGAGCGCAGCCCCGCGGGAGAGGTCCCGCCGCTCGGGGGCCTCGCGTCGGTGCAGGAGCCCGGCGGTCCCTCGGTTACTAGCCTGGCTGGCACCTACAGAGCGCTGTCCGGGATGGGTGGGGGCGAGGGCGGGACTTCACTCCGCCCACCCTACGCTTCATTGGTCAACGGGGTGTCAATCAACGCAGCCCGAGCTCCGACTGGACACGCCGCACTAAGGGAGAGTGGGCGGGGGGAAGGCAGGAGGAGGGGCGAAGGGGAGGAGATCCGACGGCGGGGGAGGAGAAGAGGAGGAGCTCCAAGAGGGGAGGCGGGGTAAAGGGCAGAAGCACCAATAAGAGAGGAGCGATTGGGACAAAGGGGCGGTGTCTCTAAGGAGGCGGAGCAAAGAGGAGGGGCCTTAAGAAGGGAGTGGTCGAGGGGAGATGGAGTTGTTGGCCAAGGGGAAAGGGAGGAGGTGTTAGGGGAGGGGAAAGAAGGCCGGTGTTATCCTGTCTCTCCCAGTTTCACGGGTGTTCTCATCATTGTTGGGCTTTTTAAACTCAGTGGTGATGGGAAAAGACTAGTGTTAAAAAATCCCCAGCCAGAGATGTTGCTCCTCTCTCCCTGATTCCTTAGCAGGGGTTGTTGGTTGAGAGCTGGAGTTGCCAATGGTGTTTGGAATAAAATAAAATCAGAGGTATAGTTAACACTGGAGTAGAAACTTCCCTTACAACGATTATTAAGAAAACAGCGTCAGGATGGGTGTATTGAAAGCCACTGGCAAGCTTCTAATGAGTGGTTTCAGAGTAGCAGCCGTGTTAGTCTGTATCCGCAAAAAGAACAGAAGTACTTGTGGCACCTTAGAGACTAACAAATTTATTTGAGCATAAGCTTTTGTGGGTTACAGCCTGCCCATGAAAGCTTATGCTGAAATAAATTTGTTAGTCGCTAAGGTGCCACAAGTACTCCTGTTCTTTCTTCTAATTATTGGAACTACACAAGGGCTTGTTCCTACGCAGAGCAGGTGAGGAGAATTGCTAACATATGCACAAGGTATTAAGTGATGAGCTAAGAGGAACTGGACAGCGCATTAGGTCCTGATTTAGCCGCCCCAATGAACAAATTCCTATTGTCTTTAATACATGCAGGATCAGACCCTTAATGAGAGGAGGGCTGCATCACTGCCAAGTCAAAAGTTATTTGTTCAGTCAAAATGTTGTAATCATTACAGACAACAAATCTTCAGAGAAATTTTTAATAGACCCAGCTCTAAACTGCCACCTAGAATCATAAGCGGGTTCCCGAAACTGCACATTTGACAAAGTGACCTACACATCGGGAAAAGATAATGCTGCAGAATGTATGTTCAACTGTCTGATGATAAAACACTCTGCAAAGTCTAGAGTAGCAGACGCTCATGTACTTTTTATTATTTCTCAGGCTACTCCTCAGGCCCTAATAAAGGAAGAAATTCAGATTGAAACAGCATGATTGTGACTTTCTTGTTGTAATACTAGTTACTGTACTTTTATATTTTAAAACAAAGACTCTAAAATAGAGTTAAGGTTAGGGGTACAGAGCAGTAACAATGGTTAAAAAACAAATTATAGTTACATTATAGTTGTCTCCAAAACCATGCATTACCAACCCAAGAAATGCAGAGTTAAGGTTACACTTAAAAGAAATTCAAACATGTTAATGTACAGAAATGCACAGGGAAAGCACCCAATGAACGTTAAGTGCCCTGTATTGACATCAGGCAATAACCGTACAATTATAATTAAGGCATTTTAGCGTTTGTCATCCCAGATTAGAGGTGACGGGTTTTTTTTCATTTTTTTTCTCTCTTCACAGTGCCACTACAGAACCAGGCTAAGGTTTTTGTTTGTTTTAACTATGAATTTCCATACACAAGTTAAAACAAAACAAATTGTAACCAGCCGTTAAGACCGCAGCAATCTCCAACAAAACAAAAGTCGGTCCCCCAAAATCTTCCCTCTTACAGAACCATCAGCCTCCATCAAGCACCCTCCTCCACCCAAAATGAGAGCAGAGAAATAGAAGTACCAAGATGATCAGCACTTTATTTTGGACTAAGGGAGGAGTAGATTCCAAAACAGAGAGCCTCTCTGAAGAATGCTCCAGCTCAAACATTTCCTCCGATAGCACCCGTGGCAGCATAAAACAAAGAGAGAAGCTGTTTCCCAAGTAGGCAGGTCCCAACCTGTTTGGAGTTGCGTTTTATAGGTCAAGACCAACAATTTAAATCCCTGTGGAGAGCAGTAATCAGCAAATGGAGATCATGGAGCACTGGTGTCATATTCTCCCACCAACAAGCAGACTCCAGTTTAAGTTTCCAGATTGACTTCAGGGGTAGCTCTATGTACAGCACATTGCACTAATCCAGCGCTGAGGTGGCAAAGGCATGGATTATAGTAGCAAGAGCTACATCTGAACAACACTGTCACAGTCTCCTGGCCAAGCACTGGTGGAAAAAAGCATTCCTGGAACTGTTGCTTGTGATTGCCTGACAACAGCTGGGGATCCAATACCCTCTGGCCGCAAACTCAAGCAATAAATAGCCACACCCCCTCAATTCAAGATAGAGAGAGATGTCTCCATATCTTGTTGCTGCTCCCCCCTCTCTTGTCCCCCTCTCAGTTATTGAATGCACAGATGTACAAGGAACAATTAAAAACAAGCTCATCCTTTCTGGAAGTGTACTGAGTGAATATTAACCACACATGATGCTGTTGTCAGCACTCCAAAACAAACCCTTTTAGCCTTAGTAAGTGAAGTGACTTAGGTACTGCAAGAATCAGGAGCAGCAGAGCATAGTAGTTTGTCACAAACTGTCCTCTTCTCACTATTGCAGGACCTACTTTGGGGGTTTTGTCTTCCAGGACCTTTTTCTCTTTATAGGGGTTAAGATGCAGCATTGGCTATCTCCAAGGGCTGGACGCCTCTAATATATTACATGTAATTCACCAATTCAGCCACCAGATGACACCATTGTCCCACAAAGAAACGAGTCAAAAAGCATAAGATGCGGGGGAGGGGGGGAAATCCTATGGCCTTTCAGAGCAGCTGAGCACCCAGGTGTCACTCCAGCTGACATCAGTGAGATGTGCAGGTGCCCAGCACTTGTGAAAATCAGGCCCGAAGTGACTATGAAGTGAGCAGCCTGGTACTTTCTCATTCGCTCCAGAACCCTCCTTTAGTATAACACCGACACCACTTCCTCTCTGCACTCCAGGCTGCTTCAGGGATTCAGGGGGTTTAGAGAGTTCAGACAAGTACCAAGCTTAATTTCCCTGGAGACTATGGTCCCAGATGAATTGCTCAACAAACAAACCAGCAGCTAGAGATCCACAGCTCCCATTATTGGATCCACATTAACAATGCTCACTTGTGGGTTGAAGTGGCTTGTCCATTCATCCTTCCATCCAGCAGAAGGAAAAGGTCCATCCCCCCTCAATGCTGTGGCTGTTCATCCAATCATCCCTGAGCTATTCTCACTGCAGTGCAGAATGAAGTTTGATCACCATTGCAAAGCTTCTACAATACCGCTTCTGTTGTCATGCCGAGAGCAGGGCCGGATCCAGTGTTTGGGTTGCCCCAAGCAGCCCTCTCCCCCCACTCCAAAAGCCGCGATCGCGATCTGCGGCAGCAATTCGGCGGGAGGCCCTTCGCTCCGAGCGGGAGTGAGGGACCGTCCACCGAATTGCCACCGAATAGCTGGACGTGCCGCCCCCTCCGGAGTGGCCTCCCCAAGCACCTGCTTGCCAGGCTGGTGCCTGGAGCCGGCCCTGGCTGAGAGGGTGGGAAAGAACCTCACTATGACTGGGCAGTGCTAGTGTAGCCACTTATTGATGCCTTTGCTAATTTTGTGTGTGTGTGTGCAGCACAATTAAGTGTGTGAACACCCAAAGAAAACATCTTGTAAGCAACATACTGTGCTCAGTCTGCCACTACTCCTCAAATACACCACACTCCCCATTTCCTGGACCCTGCCTATCGCCCCGCCCCATGACTCCCAATCATCCCTCTCCCCCAGCCTTCCATTGCGGAGACATCAA